TTGCATTGTGAAGACATTCAGAAAACATGGATGCAATTGATTCCTGTGAGACATTTTGTCTTACAGAAAAGTAAATTATCTATTGTTAACCCTTTAATTCCTGCTAGCCTGTATCAAAACCACTTCCACATGCATCTACAAATAAAAAAAATAAATTTAAAATCACTGCATTAAGCAGCAACTGCCAACCCACAAAGTGTATTTTAAATTGCAGATTTTAATTTGTTCTTCTGTGCACATACTCTGCACTTAAATCTTTGAGTGCTAAGGAAACGTAACAGACTCTGATAAAAGTAACAGACTCTCATACATGTGGTCTCTTTCTCTCCCAATCTAACCCATTCTGAGCAAATGGCTTTGCACGTGGGTGAAGCTGCAAGCTGCCTGGGGTGACACCAAGTACAATTTGGGTAAGATTTTTCAGAAGTATATGTACAGTATTGATAATAAATATTTATACATATTTATAAAAGTGTAGAAGATCCATCACTAGAGCCACAGCTAAAACAATTGGAGTATTTCAAGTGGGGAGGAGGAGGTGGCTGATTTCTGAAGTGGCATTTAAACTAATTTTTGAGTTATAAAGCTCTAAATAACTTGGGTTTTGTCTATCAAAGTTTGTTTTCACTTCATCATATTATCCAATGTGAAAAAAATAACAAAACCAGAAATAAAGAGAAGTGATGTGCAACAGTGAGCCCTGACAGGCACACAGATTTACAGATGCACAAGCTCCCCCATCTGTCACAGCCACTGTATTCCTTTAAAAATAAAACATTTTCTAGTCTAAGAAACAGAACGCTGAGAAAAGGACTGAGCTGAAACAAACAGCCATTCTCATCCTGGCTATTTATTTCATCTTATTGAGATGAAATGTTGAATTGCACCATCCTTCACAGCAAATCCTCACATACTTGGATAATGAAATTTGAGTCGTGCTCATCTTTCAGACTTCTTTTTCATTCTCTGCTTTACTCTTGCTGTGTGTGTCCTGGATGTTGTTTTTTTTTCAAATTTCTGTTTCTTAAGAACCAGGCTTAGCTGTGCAAGGCTGTCAGATTAGCAGCACTGCTGTAAGCCCATGATAAAAAGCCAGCTAAGAAATGTCAAGCCAGGTGATGCTTGTACATGTTATTCACATCTTGGAGTGCCTAAAAATTAAAATAAAAATAATTCTGTGTAGGCATTTTTCCTACTAGAGAAGGAACTTCTTTAAGAAGAGATCCAATGCAATAAATTACAGCTGTATTTTGTCTATTCTGTTCTTTTGTCACCCCACCTATTTGCAAATTACCTTGAACTAATTCATTTTCTTTTGTCCAGGATCAAGCAGGTTCTGACTTTCAAAGCCACCACAAAATGGTTGCAGCCAATTTCCTCTGTCCTTTTCCAGAGTTCTCATTATTCAGTACAAGTTTACTTGCTTTTGCAGGGATTTGATGAGACCACTGTTCACAAAGTAGAATTTTAGTACAGCTGAGTTGAACTGGCAAGAGGTAAACCATGGGTGCTATTTAGATTCCTGACCTTGGGGAATAGCATTTAGAAGCATGGAAGAGCTTTGGGGCTCTTTAGTTTTGCAAGTTGTATTTTTGGAATATGTTTTTCTGCTTTTCTCAGTCTTAGAGCTTCAGAAACCTGTCTTTGGTAGTTTACTCCCCTGAGCTCTGTTCCTGCTACCTGCCTCACGTGGACATGTGAATTAATTGAGTTTGACATGCCAGGCTCTTCCAGATTTAGAGCACTGAAAGAAAACTCTCATGCTGTATTTGACTGTGCTCTGTGTGTGCCACGATCCCCCAAGGCTTCCACGTTCATCAAGATGTCTGTCACCCTGCCAATTATTTTCCCAGATTCATTTCAACAACCCCAGCTGCCTTTCTGCCAGGTAACTTCTTCAATTACTTACACACTGCTAAACAAACCAATTGCCCTGAATGTCTTTAACAAACACACAACAATATGCCAGGGCCCTGCTTCACCTCATTCCACAGAGTAATCACCACCCTTTTCTGCAACTTCATCCAAGGGAGAGAATGTGAATTGCAAAGCCCCAAGACCCTCAGCTTGGTAAACCTCTTAATCTTTGCCTGTCTTCATATAGCAGGCAGCTACCATGTAAATCGTGGTTCACACTGGGAAAAGACCCTTCATTAGGTGAGTATAGCATTCAGCTGCTCTGAGGAAGCACTTCACAGTGCTACTGATAATGCCACAATTGTATTTTGTGCTTTACATCAGCTTTCAAAAGCTCTTGCCAAGCAAGGAATGAGAACTAAGGGTTCACACTGGCATCCATTTTGTGAAAGTTATCTGAAGAACACATGGGAGCCAAAGAGTTTATGAGAATGTCTTTCACTGAAGGAGAGCTTCCTGGGTTCTCAAAAAATGCTCATGTATCACACCCCACAGGACCTGTTCCAGATGCTCTGGGGTAGTTAACCAATGGATAGTGACTGCAGTAAGATACAGCCCAAAAACAGATGTGTACTGCAAACTACACCTGATTCAACATGATGAACACTGACATACTGTCCAGCTGATGCACAGATAACACAGGTTTAATTATCCACTGCCTGATTAACTGGTGTTGACACACTTTTTATGACTATATCCCTCTTGAGATGCTCATATTTTGAAAATCCCAACCACAGATAAAAATTTCCTTGCAGCTACGTGAAGTCACAGTATTTTCCTGACAAACTTTGGCTGAGATTTTTGAACATTTTTAACTTATCAGGCTTGCAGTATATTTTACAAGGAGATTGAAGTCTTAAGGCATAAATCATTTACTTAAAGGAAAACAACTGTGTAACAATATTACAAGATATACAGAGCAGGATGCACTTGGATTCCAGTTTCTGTTCATGGGCTCACTAGAGAGAACGATCATAAATCAGAAATAGAGGATGGAAATCAAAGAAAAGTAACAGGAAGTGTCAAAATGAAAACCTGGCAGAAATTACCAATAGGAGGAAAAGAAAAAAGACTCCAGATGTTTTTAAAAAAATAAAAACCTGGGAAAGATTCAGTGAACAAAAGATCTACAAGCAGAAAAAAAAAATGATAACTTGGGTGGGTGCTTCTCCTCTTTCTTTCTCACACACAAGCTGGGTCTAGTGAGGCAAGAAAATATGTATCTACTAAAAAGATGAGGGAGGCAAGGGGGGAAAAAGCCATAGAAACATTACCTCCCCTTCCTTTTTTCCCATGAAGCACAACTCTGGAAACTTTGATCCTGGAAATATTTCAATCGGACTCACAATTCAAAAAGTTCATTAAATCCAGGATTATTACCACGAGAGAACTCGAACAGAGCAGCTAGGCTGTAATGTTTAGGCAGCTCCTTATTCACACACACCTCCAGGCTGCAGCACTCACTCAGTCACTGGGCAAGGAGCGTGTGAATCCCAGCCCTGTGTAGCACCAAGTGTTTTCCTCTGGGGCCATCTGCTGGCTTTTGCACATACACTTCTTAAGACTTTTCTGGGACAATCAGGCACATCGAAGGTGAGCAATGCTGGAGCCAACAGATGGGATTTCTCCTGGAGCTGTAGCCCAAGCTGTGATGAAGGCAGTGTCTTTCCACCCTACATGCAACCGTAACTCCAACTGGCGTGTGGTTCCTAAAACAATCTTCTGAAGACTTGGAAAAACAATAATCCGGCTCCACTTCCCAGACTTCCCTTGTGATCTTGTGTCCTTCCTCCTTCCCCATGCATGTGCAACTTTTAATCAGACAACGGCCCTAAATTTTATAATTGTGGAGGTCAGGTACTCTAATCCTTCCTCCGACAAACAACTCCGAACATTAATCTAAGACATTTCAAACGTTAATCCTTTAATCTAAGACTTTTTCAAACAAAACTGTGAATGACAGAATTAATTTGCAGACTGATACTTAAAAAGACTCATTGGCTGTTTCATTTTTAATTTCTTAAAGAATCAAGCTTAGTAGACTCTTGAATCAATAATAGATTAGATTTTTATTTATACGTGATCATTTCAGGGTCATTTTACCAACTGTATTTGCATCATGCTGCTATTAAACTACAGTGTATTATAGTAAATTCATTTTCAAGCTACTTCACTCAAGAATGGCTAGAAGCTTAGGGCTATAATTTAAAAAAAAGAACACCACCAAAACCAACCCACCCCACCCAGGCAAATCAAACACCTTTCTCCTCTCACCCCTCCAGCATACTTTACAAGTTTTATGAATTTAAACAACATTCTTAAACCATACAGTAAAATGAAGAAACCTTTGATCCTAGCACATTCCATACATAAATAGCCTTGCATGTTAAGGAACCAAAATATCCCCTATTATTAACAGAAAGCTGATGCTGACCAACCAACAGCAATTTGCACCTGCAAGGCTAATTATCTTTCAAAAAGAAGAGCTTTCTCTCTCAGAGAGACTGACATGCTTTCCAATTTAAGAGCCCCAGTTCCTACATAGTCAGGTTATATTTTATCTGCATTTTATTTAAGCACAGAGCACTTCCACCAAAGTAATGACCCTTCTGCTGTCTTAGTAATTTGTCTACTTAGCTCTGTTCCACTGCAGTCTCATGCATTCAGACACAAAGAACTTGGAAAAGCCACTTGCTGTATACACTGGTCCAGATCACATGCACTTACATGTGAACAATGCACTGCAGAGTTACAGTCCATCTGACCATAAGATTTCTAAAAGGAAAATAATGATTTTCTGTGTATTGTTATAGCATCCATTGCTCTGAGGTGAAAAGTGAACAATGTGCTTTTTTTAGAAATAAAGGCCATGATAATGGATGTATTACTGTCACAAATCCTTAGCAATGAAAGTAATACCAGGTCTGTTTAGGTTATTTTCATTAATAATGCTACAAAGCTTTTTGATTATTTCATAATCCAGATGATGTTGTTTGGGCTCAGAATCACCTCGAGACGTACTGGAAAGGTCACAGAAGACAAAACAAACACTCTTTGGCATTTTTGGCATTCTACTGCATTGCAATGATACTCAAACCTCAATAGTAAGTCTTGCAAATCTGTACTGTAAAGATGCTGGAGTTCTTAACAAAACAAGCCCTTTTTTATCTGCTGGCTGGTTGTACAACATATAAAGTAATCCTGTCAAACTAACAAAACCCAGTGCTTCTCCACAGCCCACAGCCAATGAAAAATCCCCTCGAGTGACATATCCCAAGAGAGTTCTGGAGCAGTGGGAAGTAACATCTGGGAGAGCATCTGACCAAAGACCAAGAATGAGGTCTTCATGCTCCTCAGTTGTTTCCTTATCTGAAACGCTCGGAGGGTCACTTTCTACAGGTTTTATGTTATCTTTTTTCTTCTTCTTCTTCTCCTCCTTTAGTTTCTGTACCCTGTGCTTGAATATGTCACGATGTCTGGGTTCTTGAGGACCGCAGAAGAGTTTGTCTTTGCTTAGACGCAGCAAGTCGTCTTCTGTTGGGATGCAAATCATGGTATGTAATTCAGGGTTCCCCTTTCTCAAGAGAGACAAGCTGACCCATACAAGAGCCCGTGGATAGCTCATCAAGATTGGCAAAAAGACATCTTCATTCATTTCCTTCTGTCCCAGTCGAGAAACAAGGCGGACTCGCCGATCTTTTCCAGCAGTGGGATAGCACCAGGCTGATACCTGCATTAGTAGTTTCTCGCTCCTATTAAAAATTTAAAACATTTAAAAATAAACATAAATGATAGTTATTAACAAGTCTTACAACAGAAATCCAGTGCCCCACATATTTGCAAGAGCATGATTTAAAAAAAAATATAAATTCCTGGGACCTTCTGTAATGTTCCAGGCTTATATTTACATCACTCTGAGGAAAAAGGAACATGGATGAGTAGAATTCATGTGCAAGGCTATTTCTTCAGAAGGAGGCATTACTTGCTGAACCCCTCCCAACTTGTTAAATAAAAAACGCTTTAAAACCTTCAGTGACATTAATGCAGTTCAGACCTGTTGATATTTTCTTCCTTTGATAAGTACACAACAATTAGAGACCTGCACTCAGGCAGTTTCCAAACACTGTTGCGGCCCTCAATTGTTGCATTGGAAGGCAGGGGACTCTCTGTTTTATTTACAGACTTTATTAAGTAGCACAAGAACCACCTGTGACAATGTCTGAGAAAAAAGAATGTAAGTTGATTTACACAGCAACAGTTTTAAAATCACAGCTGTCAGTCTCAAAAAGAGACAGAATATGCCAACTCCAAGAACACGCTAAATTCAAGAGTTTTAAGATAATTTAAGAAATTTACATCTAGTCACTAAGTCTGCTGAGGAAGAGCAGGAGAAGGATTTACACTCAATTGCAAATTCTAATCCACGACAAAACTATTTCATCTCCTAACTGTATTTGGATCAAATAATTCTCTCATCTTAATAATCAAGGCCTAATTTTTCCTTTCCCCAATTCAAAAAAGTAATACCTCAGATGCGTGTATCATTTTGACATACCTGAGAACAATAAAGTCACTTGTCTTAGTTTCATCTCTCCCACCAAAGTCTTGGGTGCCTGTAACATCATCCTTCATTAGAACACCTTCAGAGCTTGTTATTTCCATGGTCTCCTTTTCCTCATCAGTCTCAGGGGAACTTTCTTTGACCACTTCAGCTTTGGGGCCACAAAAGCTATGCCCTTCGGTTGTGCAGCACGTAGGGCGTGGGGAAGAAGGTTGTACAAATTCTCCTGAAACTTTCATTCTTCCTTCCCAGTTCTTCGTCAGTTGCCCCCAAGGACAGAAAAAAGGGGTCAGAGTGCCCAGCTTGACATAATTTGCCCTTTTTGCAGGTGGTCGTCTAAATGATAAATCAAGTAGATAAGAAATTAGTTTCCTGGGCCCTTGCTGAATCCTTAGCACTTCCAAAGGCTGTCTGCTTTGTCCTGTTGGTCTAATAGTTTTCTGTTTTCAAAATTAATTATTCAGAACAGAAAGTGAACTGTGCATTCCCTTTGCAATCTCTTTGAGCAATAACTTTAAAGTCATACCTCTAGACAACAGTGTTGTATTCTGACCACCGCATCTTTCAGCCATGTTGGTTACTTCTATCTACCATGACTGACATGACAAACTTCTGCTTCTCCCTCCTAGCTGGAAGAGGAACCAACACCAGTTGGTGAGAGGACACTTCCAGCTACCCCATACTCGTGGTTAAGAGTTCTGTGCTTATTGTAGTGAAAACAAAGGAGAACTTCCTAATACCTGGCATTTACAAAGTGACACAAATATACCACTTCATTCACTTTATTCTTTTACATTTAGTGCACTCTTTGATATTATGCCTTTGATTTCTACCTCCTTTCTCATTTGCTGCTTAGGGAGCTGGAAATAGCTTTTTGTATTTTATTGCTATGCAGCCTTGCTGCAGCCTTATAACAGAGCATATCTCTGGGAAAAGAAGGCTGGTTAATTTATATGCCCTGTTCAGCAGAGCTTTTCTGTTAAATATATCTAGGATTCTTTTCATTTTTATAACACCAGGATTTAAAACACTAGCATAAGATCTTGATAAAAAGTCCTATTCTAAATTAACACAACAGGTAATTAAGAGACTATTATAAGTATTCATTTTTTTCACTCTTGAAATCGATTTTGAAGTTAATGTTACCGTTTGAATTTTTCAAGAAGACTGGTTTCCAGTTCTTTGGCAAACTTCATTCCTGCCTGGCAGTCTGGGAAATCATTTGGAGTGTGAGGATTTCTTTGATATTCAGAATGCTTTAAAGCCTCTTGCAAGCCACCGACTCGTACACCTCGATATATCTGTTATAAAAACCAAAACCCCCCAAAAGCAATATTTATACTGGTTCCGGGTTCCTAACCGAAACAAAACATTAATCTGCAGATGCTACTGCCTTAGAAAATGGAATGTCAATCACTTTAGCTTCTGAACAAATAAACTTTGGTTTTCACAGTTCCAGAGGCTCGTTTCAACAAAAACGTTGGTCACACTCTTTAAATTTAATTCTGAAAAACTATTAACAAAACTGAAGAGAATATCACAAGCTCTTATCTTCTACATTGTCAGGAATGTCACAATACTTCAACAAAGTCACTGCCTAATTTATTTTAATTGTACATTAGGTATAACTGCAATTAATTCCCCAGCACATTCAAAAGCATAAATTTAATCACAGAAAGACATTAAAACTGTCACCTAAACATTCAAAGCAGGATTTTCCAAAGAGCACCAGAGAAGCAGTCAAGCTCAACTCATACTTTGTGTTTCAAGCTCTCTTCCAAATCAAAGACAACCAATTTGTTGACAGAGTGGTGGAGAAAGCCAAGCTGGAAATGGATTAGCAGCAGGCACCAAATGATTTCCCTTTACAGACATGTGCCCTTAGGAACACAGAACACTCTGACTTCCTGCTTTAGCTGCCACGTGGGCACCATTATAACCAACAGAAGATACAGAAAGCCATTGTTTAAAATTTTAAGACCAGGCCTCTGTCCACAACCGGTTCATACACCCCCTTCTAAAGTGGGCCTTTAACACTGTAATCATGAATTGGTTACACAATGAAGCATAACTCTCCAAAATCGGTTACTTTTACCCAAATTATAGAGCATGTGACATTTACTTGCAGTCTGCAATGAAAGTAACTTACAAAGGGAATCCAGAAAGCCATGCCCCAGCCCTTTGGGAGATAGATATCCCAGCCACTCCCCCATCCTGGTCGATCTTCTCCAGCCATTTTCCCTGGCTGCTGCACCAACAGTATGGGGACCTTAGACTCACAAGGACCCAAATCAAGGTGTGATCCAGGTACCAGTAACTGAGATCTCATACGGTTTAAATCCTGAGAAGGAGGAGACATTTCCCATGAATTAGTAACCATTTTCCCCTCTTCCAGGTACCCTTCCAGGACACTGGAAAGTTATTAAGTAGGCAAAATATACTATTAATATGCTATTCATCTGAACTGACCTCCATCAAGACATGAAAAATTATTTTTAGAAAAAGTACTAGGCACCCATTTTCTCCCCTTCCTACTTCCATAGACCTTGATGGAGGGCAGATACTGAAACTCAGAGCAAAAATGTACAGCACAGATGAAGAGGGAAAAATAAGTATTGCAACTTGGTATTTCTAGATTTGTGCACAAGACCAGACTGAGCAGGTGCTTTCAGACAGTCTGTCAATACACAGAGCAAATCTGAACTACACCCAGGGAGATGGGAAGAACAGTTGGTCACAAAACAGTTTCACATAAGGCATGCTGGCACCAAGGCTTTGTGAATCAAGTTGCTATATTTCATTTTGTCACATTAGGAATACACCTATAAGAAAACAGACCCTCAGACTGTCTCTTTACGTGTACTTTCTGCATCAGCTGTTTTACAAAGCAAACATTACATTTCATGACAGCATGAAGAACAGTCATATACAAAAAGATTGTGCTGGTAGCTGTTGTGCACTAGTACAGCATTTTGTGTTTTGCTTTTCTTAACACTATGCCAGACAGTTTGAAAGAGCACAAAACTAATTTTCATGAAGAGAGTATTTAGAGAGATGTTTCTGCCATACAATTATTTTCTATTTTTTATTACAATGGTGCCAAAAGTTGATCACCTCTTGAGACTAAATCACTTTTTTACCCATGCATTTTATGGGTTGCTCCTCCATTGCCAACACAAATGACAAGATAGGAGATTTCAAACCTGTAACAGCACAATTAAAGCTGTCTAAAAATCACAGGTATTGCCCAGAATGCCTACAGCAGTGTGATGCAGTTCAGAACCAGATGGATTTACTTCATTTCAACTTCCTTGATTCTTTTGTCAGGAGAATTATCCTGAGTGACTAAGGAGTGAATGGCCAGAGCCCCTCTGGGCCACTTAATCCCTTTTATCTGCTGCACATGAGTCCAGGTGATGCAGGAAAATCCCATTCTAAACCGTCCTGCTAAATAAGCCTACAACTACTTAGTCCTGTAGACAATCCAATAAAGCTTTATTTTAATTCAACCACGAACAATGACAGTGCAAGAACATTACACAAAGGCTACAAAGTAAACACTTCAACTCAGCAGCTAGATACTGTGACATTAGGAAACTACTGATCTTGAATTTATACAAGTTGCAAGAGTCTCACCCTATGGACCATTAGCCATTTTATCCATGGCAATCCAGCTTCATAGTTACCTGCTCTGAGATTTTATTTTCAGTGACGTTCTTACAGATGTCCTGGTCCCAGATAAAGCTGTTAGCACAGTCTACAGGTACACCCTTCAGGTACAGCTGCCTAACTTTATCATTATCTACAAAAGAAGAGAACCTTAAAACAAAATTCAAACAATTTCTGTGGTTTAAGCATCAAATTACCAAACCTCCTCCACTATTTTAAGTACAAGTAGGCAACTAAGGAAACAAGACTGTTAAAAGCTTCACAAGCATCACTGCTTCTGCTTCAGGTTTTACAGAGACAAAATATGAAATAAACTGTTAGCTTTAGAAGCATTTCCCTGGTATTCTCTTATAAACAGGCATTTATTACAAATGTCATAATCCTTGGCAATACAAGCTACATCTTTAGCATGCCACCTTTAATATTTTGGAATCAAACCTTTCAAGCCGAGTGTGACACTCAACAGGTTTGGTAAAAATTAGAAAGAGCAACACTATGAAGGCTGAAATAAGTTTGCCTAAGCAAGCTTCTAAGAGAAGCAAGGGTAACCCTGAAGAAGTGTACACACAGGACATATTTTAATGGATATGACTAGCTTGCAGCTACTTACTTAGCACTATCTTCCCACTTTGGAGCTTTTCAGGCTCTGCACTTCAAGGAACAGACTTCTTCACTTATGTCTGCACCGACTAACAGCTGTGTGTGTTACTGAAGATAAATAACACTTCTAGCTTAAAACTGGTCACTGAAGTATTAAATAACCTCCCTCTTCTTCAAGTCCACAATCTAACCAAAGCAGAGAAAGCAGATGTACCTACCTTTAATGAACGACGGATTCAAAGCCACCAGTGTACAGTATGCAATTGCATGCTGATTTGTATTTTAAGTAAATAATTCTTACCACTAAGCAACACAACAAACAGTTCTGTGATTAAAACTTCTCATTTTGTCATCTACAAGGTCTTACACATTAAAGGAAGAGAATATGTTTGGTTTTGGTTTTTAAGTCACTTCTTTCAAAAGAAGATTCAGCTAAATTGTCCAGTTAATGTTTACAAGACTTTGAATACAGAAGAGATGGATTATTCAGTGGTACTAACAATACAGTAAGTACATTCTTTCTCCTTGATCCCCACTGAACTTGGGAGACTTTAATCTCTCTACTAAGAATATTATAATCTGTCCCGGTTTGAGCCAGGATGAAGCCAATTTTCCATTTTACTGATTTTTTTTTCCTTTAGTAAGCTTTCTTTTGACTAGCAACACTCTGCCAAATCCTCACACCAGTTCTCTTTATTTCTTACCTCTTTCCTGTCTTCTTCAGTTCACATTTTAAGATTGCTGGGGAAAATAACCCTACTGATTAATAAGTTGCTGATGAAAGTGGAAGTAAGATATCAGAGCTAGTATAGGAACTGGGGAGTTGTACACAAAACTCAGAGACAATCAGCACATTATCTGATTCTGCCACTGTCCATGGTTGGTGCTCAGACAATCCAGGCCCATAAAGGTTTTGTTCCATTTAAAGCTGCTGTTCTGATCTGTGTAACTGATTAATCATCTTGGAAGACAGGCCTAAGAGTGCTTCTATTTGAATTTTTTCCTTTCCTCTTTGAGGAAAGAGCCGAAAAAGCAAAAATATAAGCACTGATAGGGAGCAGTTTCACAGCTATATGTACATAGGAGTGCATGCCTGGGCAACTGATACCAGCTACCTAAACCTCTTCAAGATGTGCCTTTACAGGCTCAGGCTCTCTGTTTTGCAGAGGGAACTTTATCTCACTTATCTTTTATGATGCATTCTACTCCTATGCATCTCAATTCACCCATTGTTTAAAAGCTCCATCATACTTCTTGTTGAGCAGTTTTTAAAGCAGTGGAATTCGTATTTCTCCACAGAAAGAAAAAGTAGATCAAAATGTCCAAAGTATACATGGATGCACCGACTGCTTCGTGGAAGTCTTAACTTCCAGAAGGCATAAAGTTGCTGAGAAGGCACTGAAAATGATTTATTCAAAAGCTTTCTATCCCCCAGCCTAAAGAAAAGAGGACAATTCTTTGACTAAATCCCATCAACATGTCTGTAACATACAGCTTGTACACATGCATATGCATTCAGGAGTGAGAGTAACTGGGTAAGACCGAAATTACCTTTGATTTGTTAGCAAGGAACTCACAGGGGAAAAACCACACATGCATGTATTAGAATAGCACTTTGAAAAAAAAAAAAAAGGGATATGGACAGATGTGTATCATTTCACACACTGCATGTATTACAATGTGCAACCAAAGACGATGGCTGTAACTTACCTAAACTATTCACCCATTTGACAATTCAACTTTACATTAGAAAACATTTCCTAAGAAAATCAGTCAGCTTTTACACAACACCGAAGAAGGGAAGCCAAAGCTCAGACAGGATCTGTTAACATACACAGTCCATTTCAATCTTACTAATACCCTAATAGTATTTGAATACCCAGGAAGCAAAAAGGGGGGAAAAAAGTGCTGAACACAGCAAAAGTTCCTTTTTATTGCTCAATCAACATGACATGTGATAAGGCAAAAGAATTATTATGATTTCTTAAATAAGCATCAGCTCACTGTATTACAATATCCGAGTAAGGTTACATCAAACTAAGGCTCAGAAAGTTTATGTAGTTATAAGGCTCATAAAAAGATTTTTCTTTTAAAGAAGGGAAAAATTAATACCACCCAAATGGAATTACAGATCTTAGAGAAGTCTTAATGTTTTTTTACACAGATGTTACTGTGGAAATGTTGGCATTACTATTGCTGTAGTGATGTACACTATGTGCCATTATTAAATTCCTTCATTTTTTTGTTAAACAAATTGCCCTTCAAAAAACTGAAAAGGAAGATAGTCTCCATTCTTGGGTAAGTCTTGGCAAAAGAACCAGTAGCATGAGTGGACAGAAGTGGTTGGAAAAATGCTGACAAATGTGCTACATCTACCCATTAAGGCAGAGATATAACAGAGGTAATAGCTGTCTCATAACCTGCTAATTTAGGTTAGGAAAAACAGTAACAATAACCTCTCTTTCCAGCTAACACCAAGGAATACTCGATGAGGGAGACAGGAAGAGTGGCAGCTAGAGCTCAGTCTTAAGTTTCTCAGGCAGGAGAGATGAACTACCATACCATAGGATTCTCCCCTGTGCATGTAACAGATACACAGGAGACTTTGAATGATCCTGTAACTCTTCCACCTGAGTGACTTCCCATCGCTGAGTGGGAAAAAATTGAAAGCAGCCACTTTGCCTGCTGACCTGTTAGTCCCTTTTAGTCTCTCCTTAACTGCTTCTTGTAGGAGGGCTGGCCTCTCCTTTTCTACTCCCCTATCATAATGTCCTTTTGATCTTTTACTACAAGACAGCTGTATTGTCTGTCTTCTTTCATCCTTCTGCCTACTCAACTTCTGTAGGAGCAGCTTGCTTGCTTAAGTCCTTCAGCAGAACTTAAATTAGAAGGTATAATGCAGTTTACCTTTACTTCGCAGTTGATCAAGGACCCTCTCCCAAATACAAGTCAGAGAGGCCAGATGCAGTTTTAAAACCACGATGAAACAATAACAAAAAAAAAAGGAACTCAGAAAAGAATCAGAAAGCAATAACAAGTTTTCTGAATGTTTGTGGGGCAAGTGAAGAATAATCCCAAGTAGAAGGATCTTGAATACAGCCATTTTCTAGCCAGCCAAAGGAAAAAAGGCAGAGGCATTTTCTTTCTCTTGACCCCGTATCTTATCATTTGATCATTACCATGGCCTCTCCTTCCTGAGGGACAATCAGCTCTGGCAGGGGGGAGAGAAACTACTATGAGACATTTCCAGTGCCTTCTGCTGATCTTCCCTTCTTGAACACATCTTCACAGGCATGACAAGCAGAATGAAGGGAGCCAAATTACTTCCTGTAGTTGCTAACTCCTCTACTAGTTCATACCAGTATCTGTAAACAAGTGCTATATAGCTCACCTTACTTCTCAGCAGGAAGGAATCAAAGTAGAGGTCATGTGTGCTGCAGCATTTCCAACAGGAAAATTAATGATGAGAAAGTTAGCTGAGCAGAACTAATTATCAGAAGAAAGGCTATTCTACACAGAGAGTAGAATAGGAGGATATAAGAAAATCCAAGGAACAGAGAGCTGTGCAGAGGGTTAAAAGACAGTAAATGAAATAGGTGTTCAGCCTGACTTAAGTAAAAGGTAAGGTTACATTCTTCTACCATCTTGCAAACACACCACCAAGGAAATTAAGTATTTTCAAGTTTCTGGAACCTTCAACTGGTCCTATTTCGTACTGTTTGCTAGCTGGCTAGTATGTTTCTCATATTAGGTGAGGCAGTCTGTGGCCAGTCAACCTAACTGGAAATGCCTATACGGAACTGCATACAAACCTCACTGGATTCTGTACAGGCTCTTGCCCATTTTTCAAGAACTCAAATCCAACTGAATTGGAACTTTGCACTGAAATGTTGTGTAAGTCTCCACTGAAATGGAAGTTTCATTTCACACATTGGTGATTTTTTTTAAATAGCCAGCATTTTGGCCATCTGAAATGCTAATCTTGCAAAAGTAATATTTTTTTTTCAGTAGAATTGCAACTTCCATCATTGCAGGACTATAAACCAGAAAGAGCAGATACCTTCTTGGAGAGAATAAAGAGCATCAGGAAAACAAAATATCCATCAGAAACTTTCTAAGTAGCTTTTAGCACCTGGTTGGCCTTGCCAGGATTCGAACCTGGATCATCTGTATGGTCAGACAGAGGCTTCCACTGAGCACAAGACCAGCTTTGGTGCATGTCCCTCCCTCACAACTGCTGTTCTATGCAACTTTCAAGGTCTTTCTGTTCTTGACAGGGACAGTAGAAAGGGGAAGGAAACATTCTGAAATCGAATGCTAGAGAGAAACAGAAAGAAAGGATCAGTAGAAGATGAAAGTTAATGAAAACAATAGTGTAGAGAGAAACTGAATCTCTTGCTTTTGACAGTTCTGGGAGAAGCATAATATAAGCAAGGCATTTTACCTCGGTATTTTTCAAAGTCTGGTACAGCTTTTGTCTTCTTTTTTGGCAAATTGACTCGAGGATCTCCAACAGTGAGGCCCAGTATTGTACCTGGTGGCATTTCTGATGGTGAACTTAACCCTTTAAAAATACACAGATTAATATTGCCATGAAAGTAACCATTAAGATTTGATCTTTTTCTGCACTGCTATTTTGTGCTTTTTTCCCTGCAGGGATGTGACACAATTGTAAGTCTGAGAAGAAATCCAGAGTACTCAATGTATCATGTTTTGAAAACTCACCAATGCTTGTTAAATATCCAATAACATAAGACAACAGCAATGTAAGAGTTTGCAATTATATTTATGCTTAGCATAGAAGTGAGGTCACTCTCTCGACTTAAGAGAGTCAACTGATCCTTTACACTTGGCATAATCTTGTAAAGAACAATGATCCTTTGTTTTATCCTTGTCTTCCAGAGAAAGGAAATTAAAAAATGTGTTTTTAAAACTTTTACATAATTTCTGCTTAACTACCTCATAGAGGATACTTGGAGTATAGTGTGAGATTTACCAAAGCCAGTTTCTTACCTGCTTCAATGCTAGAAAGTGAGATGAGTTAACTTTATAATACTTTACAATTGAGCCAAATACACAACTGTTCACTAGAAACAAAAATATATAAAGCAAGGTTTAACACTTTCACTCTGGGGAGAAGACTACCATTTTATCTGTGAAGGTATTGTACAACTTACTGCCTTAATTTGGTATGTATGGGGAGAGAGAGAGCAGACTGTATATCCATCAGCAATCTCAAATCTAAGTTCATGAAGATAAAAACAAGATTCAGTTTACCTGAGCTTGGACTACACAGAGGATTAAAATTCCCTCAAAAAAAGTTAATGTAACATTTCTCAAATCTTTGACATGCCACAGTAATTACCTAAACACATGCTCAATGGCATCACTCTCATGATCAGCAAAAAAGAACCATTTTCAAACTGAAGTAAATTTATTAGCATGCCAGTTTTGACCACCTAAAAGAGTTTAACAGTTTCCCCTTCCTCCCATAGCACCCACACGCCCAAATACCTTCTAATAGCTCAAAGATAGCACTTTGACGTTGATGAAGTGATACTTTTTCAGAGTTCTTGCAGTTTTCTACCCACCAGTTATTCCGTTCTGTGTCTGAATCTGCCATCTCCTGGAAAACAACACATCTAATTAAACTCCAGTGGTCATTCAGCATTTTCCATCAGTATGAATTCACTCATAGTTTGCCTTCATCACTACAATTGCTTTCTTCAAGTTTCAAACCAAATAATGTTGCTCTGATGCAGTCTAATCCTATACTGCACCTTACAGTACAACACCTGTGTTCCAAAAACTAACAAAGCAATCCACAGTGCTTCCTAATTCTGTGTTAATTATTTATTACAGAAAGCAAGAGATTTCCTGGCCTTGTAATGTATGCTGCAAGAGACAAAAAATCCCCATTAAAACTCCAGTGATGCTATGTACCAAGAGGTGGACAAGCTACATATTTATCAAAAACACAAAAGTTTTCTGTACCTTAAACATCCTGCCCTTTAGCTGTCGATGCTCTAGCTCGTTGTTTGAGAAACATGATCTACAGTTTGTCAAAAATATTATTAATTATTCTGGACCTCTCAGCACAATACATCATTACAGCAGAAACCACATAGCCTGCTCAACAGAATCACTGCTTCTCTTTTCTTCCTACACCTACTTAAAATCCAGATACAAATTCTTCCTGAGATCAGCATTAGTCAAGTGGCTCAAACCAGAAAATCTAATTGAGTAGAAATACATAGGTTAGCCTTTACAATAAGTAAGGCTAGATAGTTTACAATGTTTTTCTAGCAAAATCAAGCTTGCACATTCCAGAAATCTTATTTTAAAAAAATCAGTAATATCTAAACTGTCAATTTACTTACTGTCTGGAGAGAAGCTGCTTTCAAGGTCCCTGTAAGGACAGAGTGTGATAGGGGGCCAATCAGCCGATATCTGAGAATCTCCATCGATCTGTCACTGAAACAGAGGTAAGTTTTAGGTCAAGGTATGACAGTACAACACAAACTTTTTTTCACAGTATTGTTAAACCAGAATTCAGCTACATTAACCAGCTGAGGGTTACAGGTTCAGACTCCACTAGGAACAAACCTGATCACAATGCCAGTAGCCTGAGAGATCCAGGAGTAGGACTGGCCTGGATCTCTAGTGCCATCACCAATTATTTTTTTCACTGGCACAGCTTTTTCTCCTTCTTTATCCTCCTTCTTTCTTTTCTTGCCAAGGGTCAGAGCCACATCTACTTGTTTTTCCTCTTCAATTGATGTTGTAACAGGGTCAGGAATATAGATTTCTTCAGGCTCTGTACACTGAAAAATTGCTTTTAGCTCTCTCAGTATGTCCTTAAAAAAAATGAGAAGTTTGGATTAGGTTGATAAGCAGCACATTGAAAAGCTTAAGTACACTTCTAAGATACTATTTTATTTTCCTATGTGGATGTATATCCATTTATAATATATATTTATTTTCCTAGAAACTGCATTCTGCTGAAGGCCAGGGCTTACAATTAAGAGCTGAAAGTAACATTGCATATTGCCAAGAATTTATTCTCACTAGAACTGATGCAAGAAAAATTGCCAGTGAGCACAATTTAATGTTTTTAAATGTATTTATTTTAAAGTTCATAGCTAAGTATCAGATTATGATTATCTGTGATGAGACCAAATGGCCTTTTGGGGGTGCCAGTGGGAAGGATATAAATCAAGCAACATCATATAGCTAACATATCCTTAAGCAAGTGACACTAGGAAACTTTTAAGCTCAAACATTAAAAAAAAATCTCTGGGGCATGCACCTCCTGTGCAAACTTAATAAAAACAAGTTACAGAACATAGATATTGTTTAGACTGGAAACAGTGTTCCAACTTGTAATTCCTGAAGCCATGTAATACAGGTAGCTCTTCTACACCTTTCAGAAATTATCTTCATTAAAAAAATGCACAATGCATAAAAAAAAATTAGAGTTCAACTGTAAAGAAAAAAATACCTGTTTGAGGGCAGGATGCATCCAGATCCACAACTGTCTGTTTTCAGACCCATCCTTAGGTTTCCAAATAAATGTGACAGGACCAAGCAAATCCTCAGGATAGTGATCTGCTCGGTAAAGATTCAAGGAACCCTCAAAACCTCCAGACAGACAAGAAGCCTCTTCAAAAGTTAATCCTAAAGAAGAAGATACTTATTGAAAAACAAAATCATGTATTATTTTAAAAGACAAAACTGAAATTCACTCTGGCTGCTGGGACAGTACCAAAGAAAAAACATGTACCACAATTAATTTATTAATAGGCAACTGAAAGTATTTATGTCTAGTCCTATTATGAGAAACTAATTATATTTTTCAACCAGTATCACAACTCTGTATCAACTGTTACTACGATTGAGACTGGTAGGATATTAAAAGGACAACAATGGCTCATCCCTTAGTCTAATCAGAATCTTAACTTTATTTTGAACCACATGAAATTTACCTGTGTCGACACTACATATTCGAGCAAGTTGCTCCACAAGTTCATTCTCTTTTCCAGTCAACTCCAGGCAACAATAATACGATAAATCCTGAAACAACAGGATAGTGGTAAAGTGAAAATAACTCTTGAAAAAAGCCTGGCAAGGAAGGACCAGGCAGAGCTTCACAATTTACAATGAAATTGTAATTTTTTATTTGCTAAAGTTTGTCTCAAAAACAAACAAGTCTTCTTTTTTAACTTAAAATTGTTAGTTATGGGAGAGCTGTCAGGTATTTCTCATTTGAGGGCCAATCTGCCTTTCAAATCAACAGACCAAAAAGGAAACCAAAGAAAGCACCTGTCTTCAAGAGCACCCTGCTCAGGAAGATGATGCAGGGATTCACTGAATCTCTTAGCTCTTGAAAAGACTGAAGATGCAAGTATTTCAGTCATAGTTACTATAAGGCTTGTCTAAAGGTTCATCTTGGTCTCTGTGATTCTCATCGTGCTTCATTATGATTATGAAATAATTAATTTCATACTTAGCAGTTATTAACAGCTGACACAACAGTACTTCAAAGAGACAGACATATTCATCATAGCAGCACAGCTGATTACTTCACCTTGGCAAAATAACAGAGAAAACAAACAAAAAAGCTGTAAGTGTGGTACCTGAAGAAGGCAGTGTTTTGTCATGGCTCGGTAACAAGCTCTGTAGCTCTTCTCTGTAGGGCCTTCTCCTAAACAGTATCCCCATTTCTTTACCATATGAAACCTCTTTGCATGCCAAATGTGTGTTTCCAGCCAAATATTCTTTCTTTGCCTGCGATTAAACTCTGCAACCAAATTTATGTGGCGCCTTCTAGCTTTGCGGCATTTAGTCTTTGACTGTTCTTTTTTCTGATGTACAGCTTTCTCTGCCTGTTTTAAAAAGAGAGGGTATTGAAGGAAAACTGAAAAGGACAAACTTCTGTAGGAAAAAAAAAAAAAGCTGACATATGTAAGGATACAGGAAGTACTAGCATTAAATTATACTTTATTCTGATGCTAGTTCTCCATAATTCTTGAGGCAACTTCATACACAAGCCCCAACCACATAAGTACATTGAGGTTTGAATGGAACCCACAGATAAACTAAAATCCCCACATATTCAAGAAATTATCAAGAAAGATCTGCTACTTATGTGTGAAGTTTTTGCCCAACATCAGTATATCCATGTGAACAAATAAACATGACATTAGGAACACCTGGAGATTTGAGCTCGTATAGAAGTGATACAGATCTCAGACTGCCAAGTAGGACCCTAAGAATGGGATTAGCCAATCAATGGCAACCCATGAGATCAAAAAAGAAAAGCACAAGCAAATAAAGTATGTTCTCATCAGACCTATCATTCCACCACAGAGAAGGCAATATAAACCACTGGATCAACAATGTGTGACTGATGGGTTCAGAGAGGCAATTAGAGAAAAAAATATGTGCCATTGTAGATGAAAAATATGTCTTTAGGCTTTTTAGGATATAAGAGTTAGTAAAGGTAAATGTTTGTATGAAAATGAGTATGAAAAAGGGTCTAAGAAAAAGAAAGAAAGTGCAGCAGAATTGGAACAGTTAACTTCGAAGAAACAGACTTCAAACACTGAAACAGGCAGAACCTTTACAAAAGGAAATGGCTCAGGAGGTACTACAAGCTGCAAGAAAGCATAAAACAGAACAGCCTGTGCAAACACACAAACTAAACCAAAAGACATGAGAAAACATGACAGAAGGCACACAATTGCACTAGGGCTAATTAAATAATCTTAAAAATCCAAGAATCACATAAGGAGTAGAAACAAGGATGGAAGAGTAACTGAGTACATCCAGAGAAATTAGAAATCATGCCAAAAGAGTTTAAAAAGTAGGATACAAAAGAACCAAGTGTAAACATTAAATAAATCTAGATTAGTTATCAAGGATAGAGCACATAACCAACTACATAAAACAATCCACTCCTTCTTCCTTCTCAGAATACAGGCCACATTGCACTTCCTCGTGACTAACAAAGCAAAAAAAAAACACCAAACCAAAATGCCAACCGCAGCAATAAGAGAAGAGATACAAGTTATGAAGATCCAATAAAACATGTCCTAAGGAACATCTAAGTATCTGAAGCAATTCTGAATTATGAATAATTATCTCCAGGAACTCAGGGAGGAGGGGTAAGGTCTAAACTTAAAAAAGACAATGCAAGGAAAAAAAGAATGCCAGAAGTATGTTCATCAGTCAACCTTAATAGACAGAGAATTTAAGAAGCAAACCCACTTGATCACTTTAAGAAGTGTCTAGAGATGATAAACTGATTGATGCCAAACATAAGACAAATGAATTAACAAAAAAATCCTGTTGAACCAATTTTTAAATTATTTTTTTAATACACAGAGGAAGGCCACAGTGGGTAAGAAGCAAGTAACTCCACAGGAGCATCCTGATTAAATGCTGAGATACTGCCACAAAATGAGAGTTTCATGAGCAACCAGGAACAGTCAGTTACTACATCGTCAGCTCTGTGCAGCCTGCCAACAACTCCAGAATAACTCCCATGTCTGAGCTGTAACATATGAACCATCATGCCAGTCATGAACAGGCTATGATGGCTTGTGGCCAGCAGGCTCACACCCAACAGCTGTGGTGGGGTGCAAGGCAGACAGGTGTTAGAGAGAACTCCTCGGTCACGTAGGATGAATGAACTGCCTGAATGACCCCTCTTGCAGTGGGCCCTTTTATCATCGCTAATAACTTTTCAAGATGTTCAATAATCACAAAACCAAGTGGTTAGTGAGCTTTACTTGAAATACCATCAAAAACTGAGGTCTTCCGGCATGTTGAATTCAGACGTCAGTCAAAGTTTGAGACCCTACATACCCAGGGAAGTTTTGCAGATAAGCTCAGGTCTGAACATTAATAAATGCACATCTGAACACATATAGCCTATCAAATACCACAAAATGCATGTATACCTCTTTTCTGGCCATCTCCTGGAGCCGCCTGGGTAGGCGTTTAATGTTGTGACTCATGGCTCGCCTGCGCATGTGCCGAGGTAGAGTCTGGAAAACCAGAGAGTTTGAAGACTTCTGAGTAACTGCTTTCAGCATGGCATTGATCTCAGCAGCACGAGCTTCAGCAAAGGCAGACACTGGAATGAAAAAAACTCCATCAGAACGGGACAAATGGCAAAAACCAAAGAAGGGGACACTGCACATAAATTACTGAATTCCTGCATTACCAGAGAATTACTAGTACTAATTACTCAGTCTAATGACTTCTTGAGATAACAGTAAAGAAATACAGATACGGTTATGTAATACTTACACATTAATGGATCTGAAAGCCATGGTACAGCCAAGAAGTCCTATATGCATTAAGTACTACTTTATTAAATTAAAATAGCAATCTTTTCAGACAGTATTCAGAGAGATCAAAAATCTTCAGCATAAAAAAAAATAGAAGCAGTGATGACAGAATCATAGAATGGTTTGGGTTGGAAGGAACGTTAAGGTTCATCTAGATCCAATTCCTCTGCATGGGCAGAGACACCTCCCATTAGACCAGGTTGCTCCAAACCCCACCCAACCTGCCTTTAACAATTCCAGGGATGGGTCATCCACAACCTCCCCTGGGCAATCTGTTTCAGTGTCTCACCACCCTCACACTAAATAATTTCTCCCTGATGTCTAATCTAAATCTTCCCTCTTACAGTTTAAAATTATTATGCCTTGTCCTATCACTACATGCCCTTGCAAAAAGTTCCTCTCCAGCTTCGCTGCAGGCCCCTTTCATATCACAGATTGTTTCAAAATGATTAAATAAAAAATCCAGAGGTTGGTCTTGTTTTATGTTTATGCTTTTATGCTACCACCAGAGCACCAGCACATTTTGAAATGCTACTGTGCTCTCCTTAATAAACTTTCTCTTAGATACAGTTGTTTTTAACTCCCATCATGGGCAAAACCAGTTTCATTGACTACAAGCAGATGACAGTCAGTACTAAATGTGCTGGCAAACAGAAACCAAACTGCATATCCCTCAGTACATGTAAGTGCAATATTTCACCTCAGAATTCTGAAAGGACTCGTTGACCAGTAGCTGGTCAGTCATTCATTCCAGTATACAACTTGTGTATTTTGAAGAAAACTACAGAAACCAGAGCAATACAGCATTAGTTCTAATTTTTGCTTTTGCGCAAAAACAGACAGCAAACTTAATCATCAGAAAGTTACCCTGGACATATAAATCATGAGCCTTTTCTTATGTACAAACCTGTTATGTATTTTGGCATTTCCACAGAAACACTCCGGCGTCCTCCTTGCCATCCTCCTCTTCCTCTGCCCCTGTCTCCTCTATTTTGCCCTTTTGGAAAATGCTGGTCTTTCCTGTAAGAAGGCCCAGATGACTGATTCGAAAATTTCTGCTGCTGATACTGCTGCTCAGAATGAACATCTCCTGGAGGGTTGAGATTAAAAGAGGTAACAGAAATGCAGAATAGCCTGAGTAGCTGATAACCAGACAGTCTCTCCTCATAAGACAGCATTGCACATTCCTCCCATTATATGTTATATACATACCTGAAAAGGCCATCACAAATCAGAAGAATCAAGTTATTTTTTATAGGAAAAAGTAAAAATTTTGCACTGTACTGCAGCAAGCCTGCAGTAGATAAAGTGACTTTTTCACATTCTGAAAACAGAACCCAATCCAGACTTTGCCTCCAATACTCTATCAGATCCAACAGGAAAGACTTGACTAAAATTGGTCTATGCAACATCAGCACTGATTTTTACTATTGTCTACTGAGGGGTTTAGTATCGAACCAGCAAAGCTAATATTCTTCCCTCTTGGTCCTTGATTTTTTTTCCCATAAGCAAAATATATTCTTGGTTCACTGGCATATAGTTCTGATACAGCAATAAATGAGGTAAGCATACGTTAAGCTACTTTTCTGGTACAGGCACTTTTCAAGAGTGATAAGCACCTAGAAGTACTTCAAGCTAAAGAGAGTCTTTAAGACCATATTTAAAGATTAGTTCATATTTAACCTATTAAGTTGAGGTTTAGTTTGCACTTCTAGTACAACTCAAGATAGGGTTCTCAGGCAGCTCATGGTGGACAACTAGACTAAAAAGGGCCAAGACAGCCATTCCCACCACCCCCCAACCACTGCATCCAGATGACTGCTTGAAGGAACACGGAGTCATGTTCAGTTCAGGGAGCTTCTCTAATAAAAATTAACCTGTGTCGTAGGAGAAATGAAGTAAGAGATTAAGAAAAAATTGGTTTGCAGGTTGATCAGCTTCTTAAACAAGCTTATGACATTGTGCCAAAAAAGCTATCATTCACATAAGGAACAGCCAGGAGCAGATTTACCTCCAAAAGCCTCAGTTTATGTGAACTTCAAGTGTGAAGGAACCTTCTTTTTCCATTTCAAATAGTTATTAAGCTGAAGTTTTATGTTCAGCAGTAACACTGTTGCAGCCCTGATGCTACCACAATCCATGCAGAACTGCAGTAATTCATATGAAAAAACTAAGTTGTTTTTTATGTGGAACAGCTCCATCATCCAACTACTCCACATGGCTGAGAGCAGCACTGTCCAGAGAGTAGGGAGGAGGTGAGAAGTAAATAGCTGGGAGAGATACTGGATCTGCATCAGTGAGCAAATCTGTATGGCCCAAGTCAATTGTAGGAGGGACAGCAATTAACTCATATAATGAACACATCCTTTCACTATCAAGTTAGCCTAAATGGGGGAACTATTTTAATCACAAGATGGAAGAGTGCTTCAAAAGACAGTGCCTAAATACCTTAAGAAAAATTAATAGTTTTAAAACTCCTATTTCATCCTGTTTTTACAAAATAGCCCAGTAAAACCCAAACACTCACACTATACAAGAATGCTATAGGGATGAAAATGCATGCTATTCAAGAGGACAGAAAAATATAACCACATCATCTTAGAAGTTCCCTGCAAAACATGTTTAATCTGGCAGTACTCCTGTCATGATACTCCAAAATCTTCAGACAAGGCTGACCATAATTTGCTATGTCATTCTGTCTGCTTAGGAACTCTTCAGTCACCTAAATACAGCATCACTTAAGGATTTTTTTGTTCAACCACAAAGATGCAGTTTGTCAGCTTCTGGGGGCCTCAAGGTTACAGGCTCTGCTCTTACGTGTGCTGAGGTTTGTTTGTTTTTTCCAGAAACAGTATAGGTAACAAAATAAAATCATGAAATGGGGGCGGGGGGAGCAGTAATCAAAGTCCAGTTGAAAAATACAGGTCAAAACACACAGATGAAAAAAGCACCTGGCATACAAGTTGCCAGGACCTTTCTGTTCTCAGCTGCTGAGGTTACCTGTGTGTAAAACGCTTCAGCCATGACCTAGCAACACTGCCATTTTAGGGAAAGCCCTTGCCGCCTCCTGCCAGCGCTCTCCCGTAGATACAGAGGCCACAAGCGCCAAAGGCAGATCGTTTGGGCATTCTGATCTGATGGAAAAGCACGGCACTGCCAGGAAGCCAACCCAGCTCATCCTGCGGCTCCTGAGTCCGGCAGAAAAGCGAAGGGAGATCACTGGAGGGGCAGAACAGTCAAATTAAGACTCGTAACCGCCGCGAGGGGGTAGGAGTTTGTTCTGCGAGCGAAGGGATGACGCAGAAAAACGTGCAGGAAGGAGAAACACGGCTAGAGGAGGCACCAGAGAGGGCAGAGCGCAGAGATGCGCCCACACCGGGCACGCCGGGGCTGAGGGGACCGAGGGCCCGAGGGGACGGACCCCCCTCCGCGGCCACCCCCGGCTCCGGGCAGAGGGTCCCCGGCCGTACCTGGGGGCGGGCAGGCTCTGCTGCCGCCGCTGGGGGAGGGCCCCGGCTCGGCGGGGGGGGGGGCGCGGCGCGG